TGCGCCCTAATTTCTTTATCGTACCACTTTCCGCCGCCAAGCTGGCAGTTGTCCACTCCGGACTGCATTACTTTCCCACATAAACTCTTGCATTTTCACAGGTCATCGCGGACCGTTCCTTCCAGAGTGAGACTTCTAAACCCGGAACTAGGGAGACGTGATAGTAAAAATGCCCCCTTCTCCCGTCGCCGAACTGCGCCGGCTACTAAATCATAGGTATAAGCATGGAATCAGTTCTATCGCATCAGCAGTCCTATCGCATCACTGTCAGCCCCTACCCTGTGTTGTACTTCGCAAATTCCTGGTTGTATTTGTATTCAAGAACTGAAATCCATACCTCGGGATTTTCCGATCTCATCTCTTCAAGCGCTTCTTTTCGCTCAGCTAGTGTCTGGTCTTCATTGTCCATTATTTCGTTATATTGCTCATAAGCCGATGGCAAATCTTCGATCAGCTCCATAACATTGTGATCAATTTCCTCCATTGTTCTGCTCATATCAGCATAGAACTTGTCGAAATCTTCCTGAACCTTTCCTGGTTAGTGTTTAGCTGGACTAGCGAAGCCACTGGCAGAATGGTAGAAAAATACCTGATGAATGAAAATGTTCAAATTCAAAATGGTAGCAGAGCACAGTTCGGCGACGGGAGGAGGAGGGGGGGGGCATTTTGCACTTTCGCTGCATTACTAGTTCCGATCACAAGGCTCACTCTGGTGTAACCTGTGAACTCCTGTGAAGTTGAAGCAAGCTCGTCGAGCCACCATGTTAAGACTTGTCCACTCTTGTAAGCCCACGAAATGGCTCCCTGGAAAGGGGTCCAGTTGATGAAGTGTAAATGCTCGCATTTTCTCTTCGGCACGAACCATACGGTAATAGTCAAGGGAGTGACGTTTCAGTCGTGCTTTGAAACGTTATAATTGCCAGTTTTGATGATGTTGCTCGACAGACTGTTAAAATCAAGAAGGTGACGATACCACGGATGCCGGTCTGTTTAGCTGTCGGAGAGCGTAGCGTGGGCCGGAGAGACGCAGCCCAGACGTACAACCACCATCCAGCCTCGTTTCCATTAACTTTTGAGCTTAGAAAGTGGTACGCTAATCCATCTGCGGATTAGTTCACCCCACATATGAAGAGCATCGTTCATGGAGATGAGTGTGCACAGTCTGCTTTTGAAGGCAAACTACGCTCTGGTCTAATTGGTGGGTCCTTTGGAACATCATAGAACGTTGTTGTGCAGCGTCTTCTGGAAGAAGGTCCACTAACGGGAATCATGCTAGACTTAATCTCACTTTGACGTTATTCGGGTGTGTGACAGTCAATAGCTCTCTTCAAACCGTATTTTGTCAAAAGCAAAGAAGAGCAAATTTAGTTGCAGGGCACATCGTTGTTGGGGAATCCCCAATGGGGGGTCGTATTTGGGCTCAGAAAAATCCGTTTTAATAGTTTGAGTTCTCGCTTGACGGACGTTGTGAAGGGGGGGGGGGAATCGTACCTGGTCATTGTTGGTAGGTTTTGGCGTTGTAGGAACGGTGGTTGACTTTTTGTGATCTTCTAAATTTTCCATTTTGCATGACTGTGTTCATAGGCGTATCCTTCAGCTCCCATCGCCCCACCGCATCGATCGCTGATTCGATGGGAGAGGCTGGAGGGGGGGGGGGTAAAACAACCGCAAAAAAAAAAGGGGGAAAAGGGGGGGGAGGGTTTCGTGCAGACTCGACTGAAGTCCCTAATCAATGATGGGCCCTGCGTTAGGATACAAAATTCGTAGCTTCTTCCAGAGAATCGTCCGGGACATCACAGGCGGCGTATGGTGCGTACACGCTATCACTGAAGTGAGTCGGGGCATATCAGCGAGGCATCACCGACAAGACCTGGTTCTGACACTCAGAAGGGAGTAGCAGCTAGTGGTACCGTTCAGATGTAATTAGGGAGACGCTCGGAGGAAACAGGATGCAGGACTAAGTTATCGATATGCCGAAGAATGCAGCCTCCGCAACAACTGCCATAGGCCATACGATGGCTGAGCAGAGGAGAGGAAAACTGGGAGAGGAAACTTTTTTTTCCTGTGCCATAATGCCCTATTACCGCTTCATGTAAGTGTAACTTATTCCGATCCATGCAGCATCCCTTGACTGAGAAATCCCTCACAAATATCGAGAAGATTTAAATAAGGGCGTTTCGATTTCTCCAGCTCTTAACCAGGCCAGCCGACGTCCAGTATTTGTGGAGGGGAGGAGGTGAATGGCGAAGAGGCGATGAAGCTCCACGAGACCGATGACGAAATGAAGAATATCTTACGCTTTTTAATTACTGTTTTATTTGCGCATTTTGTCTTGTAATCCGACTCCTTTACATATTCCCTTCATCCAGAGAATAGTAGAATAATTTCAATAGTTCCACTTACCATAACATCATGTTTTTCCGCCCAATCTATGATTTCCTTCTTTTGCTTCGCAATGGTTTTCTCATCATCAGACAGGATTGACGC